CCACCTTCAACTGTGGACTACATACCACACTTGCTTTATCATACGGACCCAGTGTTTCTTCTGACCCACAGTCCAAGCAGGGGCTTGTTAGCGAGTCACCAAAATCCGGTCGATGAACCACGGGATCGCAATCCCAATCTGTGGATTTCAGGTCCTCCCCTAGAGACAAGTCAATGTCTCCAATACCTCATGCGACCACAGCTTTATAGTGCATAATGGTATATCTCGCACATACATACGCTTCACCCTAAAAGGTTGATTTATGGCTTTCCCGAACGATATATCGATATACTTGCTGTGTGATGGTACATAGATGAGGCTTTGGCCCCCGTTTCTGTAGGTCACCGTCACACACAAGGGTCACACAATCCATCGGCTCACTCATCCGGGCATATTAGCCGACCTCATCAAGGGTTAACCCATTAGAACCCTTCTCGGTTTGTTCGTTATGCCTATGTAACTTAGATTTTTCTCAACCGTCTGACCTAGATCGTCAAGCACAGTCCGGTATCTGCAAACATCGTTTGCTTAGTATAATCCACGAGGGACCACACTCCTATTGAGTTCATGTTCCACTATAACATTTCATTTTACAAATATTCATAATGCTTTTAAATGCCACATAAACCCAACAAAAAAATCCTAAGCTTACTGATTGCTACACCTGGAACAATTATACACAATGCCAAATTCCGCGTTCCACGTTACCCAATATGGCTCATGAGATTGACAAATGACGCTAACATCTGTTTCTTTCTCATTCACTTGTTGGTTCATGAATCAAATGTTTGTTCGATGGGGTCCACATTTAAAGTTGGTCCAAGTTAAATAAAAATGGGCAGACCAAGCCATCCATTAACCTTTGTTTGAAAGCCAAATTTGCATAGTGTTTTGAAAGATTATTCATTTAAGGCAAAAGTTTATATAAGAGTGATACTCTAAACCATCAAATTAAGGTACACCCAAAACATTCATTAAAGACATCTCGACCACAAATCATGGAAATAGTACATTTTGAAATGTATTTTTTGGACCATTAATTTTTCATGATTTTTCAAGCATTTATTGATCTGCATTATTTTGAGCTTTAAATCTTATAATTAGGGATCACAAAGATTTTTAATACGAAAACAACATATTTCGACACAATTTGAAGGTGCATCTTACTTTGATTGTTTAGGGCCTCAACCTTATAGAAACCAGACCTTTAACGTTATAATATTTCATGATCTCGAGGGAGCATGCTATCCATTAACTTCCTCAGGCAAAACCAATCTAGGATTAATTATAGGCCACCGAATTTGGAGGATGTAACTTCTTCAATCCCATATGTTGTACTTAAAGAAGAAAATATCATATTTCATTTTCTATAGGCTAGAAAATAATAATGCCTCAAGGTTGAATATAAACAACTCAAGTTTTGAAGGATCACATCTATTGTTAGAAAAACTCGATATTCAAGTTTTTTCTTTTATATATAACCATCTAGTGACTTTGAGATAGTTTAAAAATTTTTGGATCAGAAAAATCTTCCTAAGTTACTCTTTTGCTCAAGAGAGTAAGCATACAATATACTCCCATGAGAGCATAATCTACCCATTCTTATTTAATCAAGGAAAATGGTTTGATTGGGCTGTAGCCCTATCAATATAAGTAAAGTCTCACCTCACAAATCCTTGAAATTGCAACTCAAGGATCGGAAGACTTTTATATCAGCTTGAACACTGTGGTTATGGAAAAAAAAAAGATTTTAAGTTCTAAAAATTGTATATATTGTCACAAATTATCTAGACCATCAATTTCGCTCTAAAGATAAGTATTCATAGATTCGCATGATCGGTACACTTTTTTTAATTTCAAATTTCATTGCCGGTGTTGGAAATTTTGGAGACAAATTAGAGTTTTTTGTTGTCGAAAGTGCTTTCCGGATGAGGATTTGAATTGAGACTTTATTTTGTTGTCATAAAGCCTAAACTTTGTAGAAACTTCATCCTTTAATCAAGCCACACTAGTTATTTCTTGTCGTGGGCTAAGGAAGTTCACTCATCTATACAAATCAGGATCACGGTGCAATGAATTCTATAGACAGAAGATATCGTTAGAATGGTTGAACTATAGTTGTCAAATGGATCAAATTACTACCTTAATAGGATCATTACATTAAGGTACCTCATCTACTATTGTATTTAAAAATCTCCAGATGCCTATCCTAAGGGTTTGGAATTCTGAACGAGCAGATATAATTTGGTTATCATCAACAGGATCAAATCATCAAAATGCCTCGACATGCTATGAACTCCAACATGAGATTTTAATTTAAAAGAATATATATTTGAGTTTGAAACTCAATACAAGCGTTTATAATTTTGTCATTTGGCTCAAGTCACTTAAGTAGGATAACCCTTAGATACTATGTTTTGTGCAAGATTAGCATTTAGGTACTCTAAAAAAAGGCGCTAAAAGACTAGGTATAACTCATTGCCCCTATCATTCTTGCATTGAAGGTTAGGCATGAGTACTCTATCCAAGCCTCATAATTTTTTAATTATTTTTTAACATATTCAATTCTTATAATTCAACATCGAATATCCTCCCCAATTACAAATTCAAAACAAGGGCATCGTACGTATCTTTTAACAAAGGAAAATGGTTTCATAGGACTGCATCCCTATTAAAATAAGTTATGCCTCACCTCATCACTCATAAAAAATCGTAATTCAAGCATTGGAAAACCTTTACATTGATCATCTCGGCTTGAACATTATGATTGTAAAAAATTTTGAGTTAAAAGCTCTAAAAATAATGTATATTGTAACAACATAGCTAAACCTTTCATTTCGCTTTAAAAATAAGTGTTCATATGTCAATTTTTTGAGTTTCAAAATTTATTATCGGTGTTGAAAATTGATTTTAGAGGCATCATGGAGATATCCGTTGGCAAAAGTGCTTTCCGAACGAGGATCTAAGGGGAGGCTTTATTTTATTTTCGTAACGCCCAGGCCCTAAATTATTATGTTTTAAATTAAGACATGGTTTTTATGAGTCTATGTAGAAATAACTCACCTCTTAAAAATCTATTTTTGAGTTTATGGGCCTAATTTTTGAGGATATGTAATCTCTAACATAGAAATCATAAATATGAAAAAATAAATAAATTTTGAAAATTAAGAATAATAGTTCTATTTAGAAAACATTTGGACTGTTAATTTCAATTTTTTTATATGGAGCACTTATTTGCATCCATCTTTAAGACGGATGCTTTGTACATCGAGGATCGCAAATGTAGAAATGCAGTTCCTGCTGCATGAAACAATTTTCCTTAAATTTAACCGTCTCGTATTGACTTATTGATTTTTTTAGCTGGTTGGACCATTTTAATCGAATATCATTGCTAAAATAAAAGGTTGTGTGAATCAGCTCCACATGCTTATCAAAAGGCAAGAAAGATAGAATCTTGCTTGAATAAAAAATCTTGATTATTTAGCGAAGAAAGGAAAAATAGAATTTTAAATTAATAGACTAGCTTACCTGAATGCCATGAAAAAAAGAAAAAAAAAAGAATTGTTTTTAATAGAATGATCAAGCCACCTCAAAAATTCTATAAGGTGGTTAAATCAATTGACTTGCCTATAAAGTTATTATTTTTAAAAATTTGTTTAGTTAGTTTAAAAATGCTTGAACTGCCTTTGCTCCAAGTTTGAAAACTAACCATTGAGAACATTATGGTATTTTGGCCAGTAAAGATACTTTACTTAAGCTAAATGATCTAAGTACCCAGTTTCCAAAACTCAGAACAAGATCATTTGTTTTTAAATTATTGTTGTAGATTTGGAACTTAATACAAGAGGTACTATTTTTGTCTTTTAGCTATGGTGGTTTCTAAAATAAGGTTATTTAATGAAAACATATTTTGAGTTTGGAACTCAAAATAAGAAGCCTAATTTAATTAGGAATAAGTTTTTATAAGTTTGAGGCTTTAAACAATCAAATTAAGACGTACCCCAAAAATTTCTTATAAGAAATTGTTTAGATGTCAAAAAACCCTCAAATCCGATCATCTCGACCTCGAGATAAGTGGACGTAAAAAAATAATAGACCTCAAGTCTTGGAAATAGGGCATTTTATAATACATTATCTAGACTGTCAATTTCAAGATTTTTAAGTGTTCATAAATATGTTTGATCTATATTATTTTGGAAACTTTAAATTTTATAACTAAAGATGACAATAAATTTTCATGGCATCAGAAAAGTCCTAAAACGACATATTTCAACATTATTTAAAAATGCGTTTTACATTGATTAGTTAGAACCTTTGCCCTATATAAGCCATATCCTAAGGCTCAAGTGACCTTAGTTGGTCAAATTGTCAAATGACCTCACTTGGGGTCATAAGTCCAAAACAAAATGATGAAGTCTCCATAAGGCTTGAAAATAAAATAGAGCAACGGAAATCTCCATAATAATTTTAAAATCAATTTTCAAAACCGACAATAAAATTTAAAACTAAAAAAATGATACAAATTTTATGGAATTATGAACACTTATTTTTAAGGTAAAGTGCACCTCCTATATGATTTGTTACTGTATATACTTTTTTTAGTTGGAATCCTTTTTTTTCCACAATCATGATGTTCAAGCCGAGATGATCCATGTAAAGTTTTTCCGTTACTTGAATTGCATTTTTCAATGAGTTATGAGACAAGGATTTACTTATTTTGACCCTGTCAAACCATTTTTCAAAATAAAATCACCAAAATTAAGGATTTACTTATTTTGACCCCATCAAACTATTTTTCAAAATAAAATCACCAAAATTATTGAAGAGGTTACCTAAATGAATGGACTTTAAAAAAGAGCAGTAATTGTCTGAAAACTACATTGTAAGTTTGAGATGGTTTAACCATTGCAATAATATTTCCGTCGTCTAATAAACATTTTCGGTTGTTTATTATTCCTATTTCCTCCAATTGAGACACTGGTAAAAGCAAATGTAACTCCATTGTATCAAACTCAGACGCACAGTAGTGAGAGAAAATTGCAATTGAGAAAAGGCAGAGATAGAGAGAGATAAAAAGGAGGAGACAAAATTTCAAACCCTAGAATCTCTCCTCCTTTTAGTAGTGAGTAGCAGTCCCCATCAATGGCGACTTTTCTATCAACCCACTGTCTATAGTTTTTCTTCTTTCCCTTTTCTTTTCTATATTCAAATGAACAATCCCTCTCTCAGAGAGGAGGAGAAGGAAGTGGTGCCATCCGATAATGGTGCTGGCTCTTCCAGACCTTCTTCCGAGAAGCCAAAAGCTCTTCCTCCTCCTTCTCCTAATTCAGAAGGGGAGGGAGCAATAGAGGTTGAGAAGAAGAAGCACGAGGGGCCTTCGACCGAGGAGGCATCCATGGCTGGTACGGTGTTCAGCATCCATCTTCATCAGACGCCTTCGAACCTTCGACACAAGATGAGCGTCCCTGAACTATGTCGGAACTTTAGGTCAGTAGAATTTGGTGCTAAGTTTTCTTTCTTCATTAGTGGTTTCATTCCTTGATGAGCCCTAGATTAGAATTTGGCTCCATAGTTGATGGCAATTGGATTGCTGTTGATGCTGTATCTGCACTTCGAATTCAGACTTTTTTTTGAGCGCCATACTGTTTTATTTTTTGTTTTGTTTATATTGATGGAGCTGGAAATTAATGATTGCACTTCAATTTGTGGGATGCCATTTCTTAGTCAGTCTGCAATTTGATCCCCCTTTTTAATACAAGGTTAACATTCTTAAAAAATACAATAAAATACAATAATGATTCCACTTGTTGATGAAGGGAGATTAGAAATTTGTATAGCTGATGAAAATTGGATTGCCATTGATGCTGTATCTTCACTTTAAATCATGGCTTTTCCACTTTGAGTGGCATACTTTTTTTTCCATTATTTACTGGTGGATTCTGATTTAGCTATTATCAAAAGAAGTGAAAGTTAACAACCTCGTTACTTGATGAACCTTAAGTAGAGTTTTTTTCAATAGTTGATCGCAATTGGATGGCCATTAATTCTGTACCTGCACTATGAATCGTATTTTCTTTTTTCTTTTGAAAAAAAAGTTTTCTTGACTGCCACAATTGTTTTTTTGGTTAGATTATGATTTGTGTGTTACTGGAGGAAGTGAAAGTTAATGATTTCATTGCCTGATGAACCATGTATTAGAAATTTTCTCCATAGCTTATGAAAATTGGATTGCCATTTATGCTCTATCTGCACTTTGAATCACACAGACACACATGCACATATATTATGCTATACTGTTCTTTTATGGCTGGATTGTGATTTGCTTTTTACTAGAGGAAGTGAAAATTAATGATTTCATTACTTGATGAGCCTGGGATCAGAAATTTTCTTCACAGCTGATCACAATTGGATTTCCATTGATGCTGTATTGCACGTTGAATCATACTTTTTTTTTTCTCTGAATGCCATTCTGTTGTTATATTTTGATCGGATTGTGATTTGTTTTTTAGGGGATGCAGTGAACTAATGGGGAACATAGTAAAAATTGGGGAGCGAGATGAAAATTTTGCTAACTACTTTCTATATTGTGGGGGATTAAAACATCTAAGAATGGAAATCACGAGCCAACAACATAAACATTCATAACATCATTATATACTTAGAAAATATGAAACACTTTTCTTAATTTTCGCAAGGCTTATCAAAACAATCTTGACAACTTGGATTTAATGCTTAAACAATACTTGGAGTAGAAATGAAATAAAACCTTTATGTGAGTTTTGGAGTTTAATTAATTTTTCCTCAAACTATGAGTTTGGGAATTTGATTTTTAGGTTTGCACTTCGTTGCTTTCTTTCCTAAGCATTTCAAGGATTTTCAGTTGACAGTCAATGTATTAAGGACATGTTAATTATTAATGTTGCGGAAGCCCATTTGCTCTAGCTGAAGATAGAATCATGATTTTTTTTTCTATTCTTTTACATGCTGTAATTTTATATATATAAGTCTAGTCTAGATTGTTAATTACCCTAGTCAAATCATGCTTTCTGTTTATTGGCCAGTGCTGTTGCTTGGTGCGGGAAATTGAATGTCATTGCCTGTGCATCCGAGACTTGTGCAAGGATTCCAAGGTTAGCAACTTGCCTGCACAATTTTTTCTTTTTGACAGACTCACATGCTATATCTCCTCTATATGGCATTGGATGGAGAACTCACACTATTATGTCTGGTTCACCCGACTTTTATGTTTTTTGCAGTTCTAATGTAAAACCACCATTTTGGATACCTATACATATAGTAAACCCAGAGCGACCAACTGAGCATGCAGTATTTGATGTTCCTGCTGGTAAATCTGTCTCTCTTCTTTAATTTTTTGACAAGCAGCTGATTGCAAAAGAAACGGAAATTGTTTAATTAAATGTGAATTGGTAAATGTCAATAGGGCAAATGATGTGACATATGCATGCATTGTAATCTTTCAGACCCTAGGTTAGATGGTTTGGAATTTCAAATAGCTATGTAAACAAGTACCTCAAACTAAATAGGATCCTTATGCCAAATGGAATTGCATATTTTCACTTGTATATTTTGGTATGCTTCACTGGTGAAAAATTTTGTTCTTCAGTTCTTATTTAGTTTTAATATGCTTACATTTACTCCTTTGAATATTTAGTATGTTTACATTTACTCCTTTATAAATTTTTTGTATGACAATAAGAATAAATTGGTTATCTGCTTTCTTGAGAATTTACATGGTTTACATTGAGCAGATTCTCCTCGGGATTCAGTTCAGTTTCTTGAATGGTCTCCTATATCCTGCCCTCGTGCTTTACTGGTCGCTAACTTCCAAGGGAGAATAACTATTTGGACACAACCTTCTCAAGTGAGTCATACTTGTTGCACTGTTTGTTGAGGTGTGTTTCACTTGTGTGCAAACGTCCATTTTAATGGTGATTTTGTTTCATACTTCATTAATTACAGGGTGCTGTCAATCTTGTACGGGCTGTCAACTGTTGGCATTGTGAGCATGAGTGGAGGCAAGATCTTGCAGTTGTTACAAAATGGCTTTCGGGGATGTCCCTGGTATGACTTGTTGCATTTTCTGGTGTCTTGATTTTTTTTGTGGCTAATATATCTGTCTGGCTTTGCCCTGGGGATTGGTAAAAATCCAATAAGTGTGCTGCATACCTGTTGATTTTGCATCCATTAAGTATACTAAGATTGATTGTGTATTTGATTGTTGGAAAATTATAAATCTATAATGGCTTCCATATTGCATTACCAAATAAGAATGACATGAGATACGTGTATTTTGGTAGCGAAACGTGCAACTCCTTTGGCAGTCACATTCAAGAACTTTCTCTTGTATTTTTTTATTATCTTATTCACACTATTCTCTGGCCCTAATCACATTGTTTTAGTTTTAGTTCATTGAAGATGGCTATGAGTTTAAAGTGCAAATGTATCTGCAGCAGCATGTGCATGAACTATAAGATTTGGTTCTTGTTTTGTTGCTATCTTGTGTGTTTCCAATTACCTATTTCACATATACTTTAGCTTGTTATTTGCTTTAAGAAACTTCTCGGGTTTCTCTGAAATCCAGTACCGTTGGCCTCCTTCAAATTCCAGTAATTCGAGCTCAAAAATGACTTTCGAGGAAAGGTTTCTTTCATATCAGCAACAAGCATCCGGTTTGTCATTTCTCTTGTTTAATCTCTTTCTTATTTTTGCTTTGTATTTTTAAATGCAAAGCAATTGCAGCCACTCATCCCAGTATTTTTCCTGCATCAGCACATGGGAAATGCACGAGTTTGTTATACTGGGTAAAAATTTCACTCAATGATTTCTCAGGATCTGATGCAATTTCATATGTTCCATTTCAGCTAGGTGGCCCAATTTCCTTTGTGTCTGCTCAGTGTTCTCATCAGGCTCAGTGCAGCTTCACTGGTCGCAGTGCCCTCCTTTACAGGTTGACACATCTCCTAAATGGTTTTCAACGAGTAAAGCTGTGTTAGGAGCTGGGCCAAGCGGTATAATGGCAGCTGATGCCATCATAACAGAAGCTGGTACCATGCATGTGGCAGGAGTTCCCATCGTAAACCCATCAACAGTGGTGGTTTGGGAGGTTACTCCTGGTCCAGGAAACAGTTTGCAGGCAACTACAAAAGCAAATTCAGGCAATGGAATTCCCCCTTTTGTAAACCCTCCATCATGGACTGGTTTTGCTCCTTTGGCTGCATATTTGTTTAGTTGGCAAGAGTATCTCGTAGCTGAGGGAAAGCAATCACAGAAGCAGACTGATCAAGATATGAATCAAACTGTTTCACTTCATTGTTCCCCTGTTTCAAATTTTTCTGCGTATGTAAGTCCTGAGGCTGCGTCTCAGGCTACAACCACATGGGGTTCAGGCGTTACTGCAGTGGCATTTGATCCAGCACGAGGAGGATCGGTCATAGCTGTTGTGATAATTGAAGGTTAGTATCTGCCGTCGTTTCATGTGCTTTTTTTTTTTTCTTTTCTTCAAAGGATTTCTGGAACTGAATGCTTTGTTCTCAAAAAGTTGGAAATGCCATGCGCAAAACCTGCATATGACACTGTTTAAGAGAGATGTATGTTACTGATTTGCTCTTAATAGTTGAAACTTTAGATTTTGAGGTCAATTTGTATGAAACACATTCATTTTATTATCTGAATATTTAGCTTACGTGCTTAACCTGTGAATCGGTGGGCATGCATATGCATAGGAATGACCACACTCTGCCTATTTTGAATGGTTAAGTTGGAATGATTGGGCTTGTGCTTTCGATTACACTGAATTGGGGGATTCTGTTTATTGAATGCAATACATCCCAGGGCAGTACATGTCTCCTTACGACCCTGATGAGGGACCGTCAATCACCGGATGGAGAGTACAGATTTGGGAATCTTCTCTGCAACCTGTTGTTCTTCATCCACTTTTCGAGAATTCTGCTTCTAATTTTGGCGGTCAGCCTCCCATGCAAACAGTCTGGCAAACAAAAGTCAATAAAAGTATTCCACCAAGGAGTGATATCAAAGGCCCCCAAACACCCCCAATGACTGGAAATTTGCCTGATGAGCGAAATTCAACTGAAACTGGTGCTTTGAAGGCAAACATACTCAGTTTTGATCCTTATGATCTGCCTAGTGATGTTCGAATACTAGCCCAAATTGTATTTTCTGGTCATGGTGGAGAGGTAGCTGTTGCCTTTCTACTTGGCGAAGTGCGCTTATTTTCAGGTGCAAACTTTTCACCTGTTGATTACTATAATGTCAATGTTGGTTCCACAATTGCGGCACCCGCCTTCTCTTCATCGAGCTGTTGCTTGGCATCTGTTTGGCATGACACGAGTAGAGACTGCACAGTTTTGAAGATTATCCGTGTTCTTCCTCCTGCTGTTCTTAGCATCCAAGCGAAAGCCAATTCTGCAACTTGGGAACGTGCTATTGCAGACAGGTATTCAACAGAATGTTGTAATGAATACAAGGATTCACTTTTCCCCTACACTTTCCATTTCTTTTGTTTTCCATATTGCTTTTGACTTGGTTTAGATGGGCAGGCTTTGGTGGAGCCTTATGGCTGGAGTTGATTGGTGGGATGCAGTTGGCTGTACACAGAGTGCGGCAGAGGATGGGATTGGTAAGCGAATGCTGCCTTTGAATTGGAATTAGGTATGAGTAAGACAATGGTAATATACTTCACGAAGAATACTATACTAATATACTTATTCTTTTTTTGCAGTGTACCTAAATAGCGTGATTGCAGTGTTGGATTCCGACTTTCATTCCCTACCATCTATTCAGCATAGGCAGCAATATGGCACTGTATGTATCACTCTGTTTGATATTTGCCCGTTTATCTGATCAAGAAAACTGACTAAAAAACGTTTGGAAATGGGTACTAAGAATAAAGGGGATTGAAACAAAGGTTAGGCAATAATGTGGGAATTAGAGCCGCCAATAAGGGTGTGTCTTGGGGGGGTATATTTGTTGAAACTCTTGGAGAGATTCCTTTGTAGAAAATGCCGTTTGGATGAAATCTTGCCATATTCTTTACTTCCATTTTTCTGTACAAGATTCAAGTTTGGTCGAGTAATGTTTTTGTTATATGTAAAAAGAAAAACTCAGGCAACAGCTTAATGATTGATCATTATCAAAAAGTTATTTCACTGGTTTCCTATTCTAAACACTTTACAAAGAAATTTGGACTCCATAAACTGATTCTGCATTCTTGTTTCTCATAAGTTATCCTCTTAAGAGATTTATCGCAGAAGAGTATGTATATCCTTGGGGAACACATTAGTCTAATTTGATGCAGTACATTGGAAGGACTTTTATTTTTGTGTTTTTTTTAGGCAAATAACTTCTATTTTTTGTGTGTATGTTCAGCTATTGAATTTTTTCTGCTGCAAATTCGGTTTATTCGCCGTGAATTCACACCTATCTTGTTGTTTCACGCACGGTCTGATAGGATAAAATGCAGGCTCCTTCAATGACTTTTACTTTTGTTTTTTGGAGGCAAATAACTTTTTTTTTTGTATATCCAGCTATTGAATTTTTTCTGCAGTGAATTCTGTATATTCGCTGTGAATTCACATCTATCTTGTAGTTTCATGCAGGGCCTAGATAGGATAAAATGCAGGCTCCTGGAAGGTACAGTTGCTCAAGATGTCAGAGCACTTGTTCTGGATATGCAAGCGAGATTGTTGCTTGACATGCTAGGGAAGGGGATTGAATCGTCTCTAATTAACCCTTCAGCACTATTATCCGAGCCATGGCTGGCCTCTGGTGAAACATTATCCGGTCTTGGTGCTGATGCAATGGCTGTGGAACCACAACTGGTTCCATGCATCCAGGTTGGATTTGATATTTCTAACCTTTCTGCTGTTCTTTGTTGAGAAATCCTTATCAGTTTAATTCTATTGATAACCTGCAACTTCTAACCAGATACTTCAAAATGTTTGGTGTGTCTGTGTCTCTGTGTCGGATACTCCAAAAGGATGCATGTAGTTCCTTTTTTATTGTTGAAAAATGTATGTAAGTTCACAAATTAGGGTAAGTTTGGGTGGACCAAGTAGATGTATTTACTGTTCTAAATCAAGAACTACGGAAAAACACTTTCTTTTTTTTTGAGTAGTGGTGTTTTTGGCCGTTTTGAGGCATTTTTTGAGTAAATAAAAAAGTGAAGCAGAACAAATGTTTCACCAAATGTTCCATGACGAGTATATTAAAGAAATAGTTTATGCCTGTTTGCTTGTCCCGTTAAACTAGCTTTTAATGTTTATCCATGTTCATGGCCGTATCCATGCCAGTGTTCTCAAAACTGGCTGATCTAACCGCTAACCAGCCGGTTAGATCGGAACCGGCCAGCGGCAGGTTCCGGTTTTGGGCGGTTTTGGTGATCAACCGATATTTTAAACTTTAAATAAAATACTACTTCAAATTTATATCAAATACATTAGAATGGTTTATTGGTGAGCTTTGATGATTAAGTTTTATATGAATCATGGTTCAAATCCTGCTGCCAGCGTGTTTTCTTTTAAGAATTTGTTTCGTTGGTTCAAAAAAATTACTTGCCCATTGGAATCCCAGAATCAAACTAGAATCCTCTCTTAAAGAAGTCCTTTATTATCAGACCAGCTAACCAATATGCCATTTACTACTTAATGATAAAAAAAAAAGTGCCTATATTTTATATAACTTAAGTTTTTTGCATTTTCTTTTAACAAAAGAGTTGGTCAAGTTGATTTTTTTAACACTATTTTAATATTCTTACATTATGATAAAGATTAAATTTTTTTTTGGTCATTGATACTCACTTTTATATTTTCCCATCTTTTTCAAAAAATTTTAAAAATACCCCTAAGTACAAATCGATTCGTTAAAATCCATGTTTTTTATTAATTTTTAACTTCATTTGAGTGTGTTTTGTTTTAATCACATTTTTTATATGCTTTTCATATTTCAGTAGATTTTTTTTGTATCTTTTTTTTTGTTTTCAACACTTTTTTTATCATTCGGAACTTGCTCGGTTAGAGCGGTTGAATCAGGTTTGCCGGTTAGGCCGGTTAAATCGCTTCCGGGCCCATGTCCGGTTAACCATTCCGGTTTGATTTTGCGAACACTGATTCATGCATCATAAGCCACAACCTTGCTCTTATAGTATTTGATGGAAGGAAAAAGTTTATATAAGGATGCAACCTTATACTGTTGAAGGTGCACCTCCAAAATTCTACAAGGTTGCAACCCTCTAACTAATCATCTCAACCTTGTGATGAATGAACGTGAAGAAAAAAAAGAATTCCAAGTCCAAAAAATAGTGCATCTTGTAACATGTTATCTGACCGTCTATTTTCAAAGTTTTCAAGTGTTTATTGAACTGTACCATTCTTGAAATTTTAAATTTTATAACTGAAGATAAAAAGGGATTTTGAAGCCATCATAAGGTTTTCTACGCCGAAATGATATCCCTAACTAAATTTTATAGGTGCTCCTTACTTCTACAGTATAAGGAGGCAACCTTATACAAACCTCACTTTGATGAAACTGTTTCATGGAATATTGATATTTGGATTTTATATGATATCTTGCACAGATATGCTGATGCTATTTTTTATCTGGTTTGACACTTTCTAAGTTTTTTATTAGTTTGTGCAGCTATGGTTCTTTTGTCAGAGAGATGTCTGTATGCAATATGCATGTCTTGATTTCATATAATACATTGCAGGGATATGTTGATGCTGTTCTTGATCTGGCTTCACACTTTCTAACACGATTGCGACGCTATGCTAGCTTTTGTCGTACTTTAGCGAGCCATGCAAATGCAGGCAGTGCTCGAAGTATGGTAGCAAGTCCCTCTCACAGTTCAGCTCAGACAACTAGTCAAGGTCTGTTCACTGGCTAATTAAACAAAATATTATGCCAAGTATTGGGCTTTAGCCTTGTATCATTTGAATTCCATGATCTTCTCAAACATTGACCAAGTTAATTCTATTTCTTTTTTTTGACGAATCAAATCATTTGTGGATATTAAGATGTGGGAGGTTTATCACAGAAAATTCCAGAAAAATAAAATATCTTTGTTTTCTATGTTTGGCTTGATGTCAGAGCCCCAAGGTTTTTTTTTTTTTTAAGGATCATCATTCTCAAATCTTCACAAATAACAAAACACCAGAACATCCAATTTCGCATATTTCTTTTAGCAGTAATATTTCAAAATGAATGTAATGGCCCCTACAAACAAGAAACAAATGGAATTACCCTTAATAAAGTCTGATTTCTGGTTTTTTATAAGAAAAGCACACATGGAAGACGTGGAAGTTTGGGTCTGAAATAGTGGGTCACTTTTGCGAGGCAGTATTTGGGTGCTTGACTGAAAAGTTTTCTGTCGGGATAATGTGCTCCAATCAGAAGTACTTCCTTACTAACATGAAAGTGGAGAAACTCTCCTGTAGTTTGGCTTCTTGCCATGCTGTTTCAACTTTAGGGTGCATCAATACTTCTAAATTATTCAAAGGCCTTTTCTTCCAGCTGTTGAAGTCATGAAACATCTTGACTGCCATCATTCCATAGATCCATTCAACTGTTCCTCTCTATTGCCTAAGAAATAAAGGTAGGTTTTGGCACTCTTAAGGGGGTATTTAGATGCCTCCTCGTCAGCTCTTCTTTATCTTTACTCACATACACATACAGCGGGAGGGAGGGAGTTCTGGGAGGGACTTGGTTCAGTACTTCTCTGGGGAGGGAGTTTTGGGAGGGACTTGGTTCGGTACTTGTTTGGGAAGGGGGTTTTTGAAGGTCCACCATGGCTTTAAGAATTGGTTCAGTATTTTCTCTGAGGACCATATATTATACTCCTATCAAGTATTATATAAGGTATTCATACTGCCATATATGTAGTTTAAAGGACAGTAGAGATGAACAGCTGCTTTATTGATGAACGGGACAATATTAAAAGATAGTGGCAGAGGCTCATTTCCTCTGTCTGTTGATAGTACGGATGGCGGATGGGTGCTTTGAGTACCCTATACAATATTTGGTAGGGGTATTGGGTATTTTTACTTTTCTCTGACCGTGTCATCTGTTTTATGTTTTTCAGGAAGTCAAAGTGGCTCATCAAATACCACTGGAAGCACCCAAATGCAAGCTTGGGTGCAAGGTGCTATCGCCAAGATTAGTAACACTAGTGATGGATCTTCCTCTCTGACGCCAAACCCCATGGGTGGTCATACTCCCTTCATGCCAATTAGTATCAATACAGGAACATTTCCAGGAACACCTGCCGTTAGGCTTATTGGGGATTGCCATTTTCTTCACAAATTGTGCCAACTTTTACTCTTCTGTTTGTTCTTTAGACGACGACAGTGGCCTCGAGCTACTGGGCCCACACTGAGAAACCCTGAAACAAATCCGCTTAAGCCTCAAACTGTTGCTGCTGGTGGTGGGAAGGGCTTGGAGGAGACGAACAATGTAGGGGCCAGGCCTTCGGCACCAGTTTCGCTCAAACCAGAAGAGGGTCAAGCCAGCCGTGTTGGGCAATTGATTCCTGGGGCAAAAGGGCTTGAAGAAGTTTCTGGAGGTCGGCCTCTACGGTTAGGATCGGGGAATGCTGGTCAAGGGTACACATCAGAGGAGGTGAAAAATTCTTTGCTTTTATGTTAGTAAAAATAAATTGTCTTTGCTTTCTAGTTGGAACTTGTATTGGTTATAGCTTATTTGGTATCTTTGTGACATTCCCTTTTTTACAACTTCGGCATCATTTTTATGATTATGGGGCTGCTTCACTTTATTGTCAGCGTCAAATTTCATGTTGTTAATCATGGGTAGTGTTGGGCACATGTCAAATATAAAGAAAAATAAAAACATAGGGTGTTGAGATCCATTGTTAAGGGATGGTTTGCTTGCCTTCCCAAATTCTATCTTATACATCTATTTGTCTTGTTACATGGCCTTTCCCTCCAACTTTACTTATCTCAAATCGTTTGCTGAATGTCTAGATTATTAGTTGGCCTTTTACCCAAAATGTAGGAGGTTGGCAATGGTAACTGCATAGTTGCATGCTAAAATGTTTTACCTACAGTATGCGGTTGCACATACCACTGCTATACACTTAATACATGTACTTTGATCATTGTTTTCTCACTTTAACAGCAGTTATGAGCATGAGGAAGCTAACTTGCACATTGTGCAATTTGTTATATGGGGGCAATTTCTTTTTTTCTGTTATTTACTTCTATTTACTAGGGCATAGAAAGCTGAGAGGTTTGTTACACTAGAAAGATCTCAATCTGGGGAAGACATCCAAAACACCCAGACCTGTACTAGTAACTCTCTCTCTAGCAGGGAATTGGCCTTTGTGTTCATTTGTCTTTGAGTATGCTCAATAGATATAATAGATATGCACAATATGTTTTGGTTCTCTTGTGTCCTTGAGCACTTGTGCTTGTGTCCACGGGATTGGGCCTTCTATGTGATCCAATGAATTGAAGATTCCGAGTCCTTTTTCACTGGTTTGAGGCCAAAGCAGTTGTGAAGTTCTTAATTCGCATTGAGAAGAGCTCTGGCTTCTGCCCCTTCATAATTTGTTAATACAAAGGCCTTCTGCACTATACCTTGTTCATCTCTACGAAGCCCGTCAAAACAGGTTGGCCAGGGTTCCTCAACAAATTACCTTCATAATTAAGCTTGACATTCAGAGGACATACTCAAACTCTCTTACCCTATGGTACATGATTTACAAGTTCTATGACTACTCAATTTTGTCGTCTCCTTGTCTAACAAAGTAAAGAAACACTTCTGTGCTCCTCTTGCCTATTTAAAGTTTTAAATCCTTAATATAATTTTAGTTCAAAAGATATGAGATTCAGGTTGATCGATTCCATGACATCACTTGCTGAGGCTCTATACATTTGAAGATTCTACTTGTGCCCTTATATAATCTCCAAGCAAATAGTGAGTTTGAGGAAAGGCACCCCTGTTTCGAAAAGTTTGGTAATTTTTGTGGGATTTTACATTTTTAAAGGATTTTTTTTTTCGTTAAGCGCCTTTCTTTATTGGGAGAAATCAGTGAAAGAGTGCCTCATATGGTAATTTTTTAACCATCTTGCTTGTGTAATAATCCATGCAGGTCAAGGTTCTTTTTCTTGTATTGGCTGATCTTTGTAAGCGTACGGCATCTCTTCCTCATCCATTGCCACAATCTCAAGTTGGGGGGGCCAGCAACATCATTATTCGCTTGCATTATATTGATGGAAACTATACTGTCCTGCCTGAGGTTGTAGAGGCCTCCCTCGGCCCTCATATGCAGGTAATGTTTATTTAATACAGGTCCTAGTATGAAATGCTTTCGGATACTCATTGTAAACCTCTTACATCTGCTGTTTTAGATTCAAACATCTCCATCTTATTGAAAATCCAGAAAAATCATGGGACTTCGGAAGAAGGATGATTTCCTTAAGTTCATGTCATTTCTCCCTCCTTTGTGGATTTTGACTTGTATTAAAAAAATAATTTTCAGCTCTTCTTAATTTCATTACTAAATTTTCCCTTTATTTTCCTTTCTCTTCTTGTAATATTTCTTTTGGAAATTCATCAAAACACACCTAAGAGATAATTTATTTAGCATTCTAACCCTTTTTTAATTTCATTTCAAAAGCCCCATCGAAGTACACATGATGAAGAGTTGGAATAGTTGAAAAAGATAAAAATGTTATAGGTTAGGTATTTTTTGATAAGGGTGTGGTTTACGTCAGGTTGCAACCTTAAACAATCAAATTAAGGCGCACGTCCAACGTTTATCATAAATGTAATTTTGGTGTTAAGATTTATTTGGATGGCACATGAATCTATTTTCATCTTAAATTATAAAATTTTAAACTTCAAAAATAATTTAAATTAATTAGATCTATAAAAACATGAAAATTTTAAAAAATGAATGGTCTAGATAATGTGTTACAAGATGCACTATTTTTGGGACTCGAAATCTTTTTTCTTTTCTTATTCATAGATCTCGATGTCAAGATGATCAATTAGAGGGTTTTCTAACATCAAAAAAATTTTTTATGATGGAATTTTGAGGTGCACCTTAATTCTATATTTTAAGGTTGTGACTTTATATAAACTTTTTCTTTTTGATAAATTTCCCTTTTTCTTTTACAGTTTCACCCAAGGATTTCTTGATAAATGTTGAAACTTTAAAATCTCCATGGCAACCACATTGCCATGAAATTCCTCAAAGATTTCCTCTTGGTTCATTAGATTCTCAAATTACTGTAAGCCTTTTGCAAAACTTAATACTAACCTAGAGTTGTATACTCTTAATAACTGAGATGACACAAAAAACACAACCATATGTGAAATGTTCATCTTTTTCCTTCCCTTAGAATTTACCCCGGCCAAGGGGTGCAGATGCTGCTGGCTTGTTGCTCCGTGAGCTGGAGCTCCACCCACCTGCCGAAGAATGGCACAAACGTAATATGTTTGGTGGACCATGGTCCGAGTTGGAAGAGGATCAAACACCAAGCCTGAGAAGCACCTCTTCAGTTGCCGAGCCTTGGGAGTTTGATTCTTCACAAGATTACGATAGCTATAATGGTGTTCAGGGCCTTTGGCCAAGAAAACGAAGGTTATCTGAGAGAGATGCTGCTTTTGGCCTGAAAACCTCAGTGGGTCTCGGAGGTTATCTTGGTTTGATGGGATCTCGAAGGGACGTAATCATGGCAGTGTGGAAAACAGGTCTTGAAGGCGTGTGGCATAAGGTTTGCCTTTCTTTCTCTTGCCTGTCTCATTCTTTAAATCCATAAGGTTTGCCTTCTCGATCTTGCATGTGTCATTCTTTAAATCCATAAGCCCTAGTTTGCAACACCAAGCACCCTTCAATTGATCTATACTCTCTCTCTCACACCTTTTCAATTGATCTATAGTCTCTCTCTCACACACCTTTGAATTGATCTATGCTCTCTGGTAGTTCAGTGGGGAAAGGTCCCCTACCCGTTATAGGAATAAAACTCGGGGCACCAACCACCTAGTCTCTCTGTCTCTCTCTCTCTCCCCTTACACTTCCACAGTAAGTGTGTTTTTCTCTAAGAAACCCATTTTTCTTGTTTCCATGGGGCTATTTTTTCGTTTGTGGTTTATTTTTTAATATCACTGGATTATAATATCAAGCATTCTCCATTTTTCAGTGCATAAGGTGCCTGCGTCAAACTTCGGCCTTAGCCCTTCCTGGCCCTACCAATCCCCAGAGTGACCGAGAAGCATGGTGGATCAGCCGATGGGCATATGGATGCCCAATGTGCGGTGGCCCATGGGTCCGGGTGGTGTAGTTTCCCCTTTTTTTTTTTTTCTTTTTTTCTTTTTTTTTCTTGTTTTTTTTTGGTAAATTCAGTGGGCAATTTTGCCATTAATTGTAATATTTTTAGGCTGCTTCTGATAATTTAAGAGGTAACACTGTTTTTATGCGAATTTGAGTAACGAAAATAGAAGTCTTCTAGGCCGGCAATGGATTGAGACCTGACGTCTTGACTTGACATGGGTCCCGGTATGGGTCCAAGAATCAAGAATTGGATCCGGCGGGTCGGGTCCTGGTCTAGGTCCAAGTGGGTCAGCATTTGGGCCCATGTAGACCTGATCCGGACCTCATCCAAATAATGTTATTATAATTGATATTTAATATTTTATTAATATTTCAGTAAATATAACTATATATTTTAGTTATTGCAACTTTATAGAAACTTTTTCCTAAGTTATAATATTTAAATAAGAAAAAGTTTATGGGTGTGGTTTGCATAAGATTGCAACATTAAACAATCCAAAATCCAATTAAAGTGTACCTCTAAATTTTATCAATAAACAATTCTTAAGATGACTAAAGAATCCATTTTTTTTTCTAATTATAAAATTTTAAATTATGAAAGTGGTTCAAATCAAGTAAATCTATAAATACATGAAAATTTTAAAAATGGATGGACCAGATAATGTGTTGCAAGATATACTATTTTGTGGATTCATATCTTTTTTTTTTTTGTTTCATATTCATACATTTTAATGTTGAGATGATCAATTAGAGGGTTTTTCAACATCCAATGAGGTAAGGTTGTGTTATTTAACTTTTTTATAAAGTTTATGTAAGGTGTCAACCTTATATTATAGGAGTAAGATGTACCTAAAAATCCCACTAAAGAAGGTTGTTCTTATGTTGGAAATCTTTAAATCGACCATCTCGACCTAGAGATTCATAGGCATGAAAAAAAAGGGAATTTTTAGTCCTAAAAATAGTACAATAGTTTATCTTTTAACATATTATTTGTACTTTCTATTTTCAATATTTTTAAGTGTTTATAGATCTGGTTGATCGTCACCATTTTTGAAATTTTAAATTTCATAATTAGGGCAACAATAGATTTTCATATCATCGCAAGGCTTTATACATTGAAATTGCATTTTCAGCATACTTTTGAGGTGTATCTTACTTTAATAATATAACGTCAATACCTTATACAAACTTCACCTTTTAAATAATACATAACATTTAAATATATATATTTTTATTTTTGGATTGGGTCCAATCGGCTCCGGTCGGGTTTGGATCTGGGCCCCATAAATTTTTTCAGGTTGAGCCAGACCCGATCCGTCCTCTTGTCACCCCCTAAGATCTTCTCTCTCAAATTCAACGTGCAAAACAAGAAAAATCAGTACGCCAAATTTTCCTGCTCATATTTTCGTATTGCTATTGTTTGTTTATTTCTCCTTAGAGTTCATTCAACCACGGCTCATTATTGTTACAGCACAATGGTCAGGATCCTTAATTAAATGGAAAAATGATCAAACTACACTTTGAAATTTGAATTACTTAAACTTTGGAAAATCGTTGAACATAATTCCACATAATCGTCAAATCAACCATTAAAAACGCATAAAAAAATGTCATTTTCTTTTTTTAAATTTATTTCTTTTTTAATTCTTGTTCATCATATTGGACATTCTCAATCACTAAATTTTTGGATTTAAATCCATCTCTGAGATGGATTTTGGAGGGATAACTCATATAAATAGGGTTGGAGGCTCATCAAAACCTTATCATTGTAATATCTGATTTACTCTTGAGTTGCAGTAAAAATTAGTACTGAATGTAACATTTAAAATAAGGAAGTTTATACAACGAGACTGTTTACTTTTGATACAAGATAGTGACAATCATAATTGACCTTTGAATATGAAATCGGGTGGTCAAGGATGTGTCATTGGGCACATAATCCAAAAGATAATTTCTTGGATGTTGTGACATACTTCAATCTATTGGATTTAATATTCAATGGCTAAAAATAATTGTGACCTCTTTATACAAAGTAAATGGTTTCGTAGTATACAATTCCTTAAAATATGAACTTTGTTTGATGCTCTTAGTCCCGAATTGCATTTAAGACATAAATAGTCTTTTTTTTTTCTTTTTCTTTTTTTTAAATAGTAACTTGGGTCTTTTTAATTGATATGATCAACCAAATTAAATAGAAAATATAGATACAAGCTAGAAGAAGAAGTAGGTCCTGCTAGCTCTCATGGCATTCTCGAAGACAAATATCTCAGGAACACTTAGTAACAATATTTATCGTAAGAAACTAATTTCAACACATTCCAAAAAGGGCTTGGATGAAAAATAGAAAGGAAAAAAATGAATGTACCCCAAGTAAATGTTAACGTTTTTATATTTTAAAGGGGTTCACAATCACTTTAGGCATGGGATGTAAAATCCAATAGATGAAAGGGTGTCATGACATTTAAGAAATTTTGTTCTGGACTTTGTGCTTAAACAATGGTACATCTTTAGCCGCCCGATTTCAAATTTAACGGTTAATGATGACTGTGTCCTCCTTATATCAAAAGTAAATGATCTGATTACATACGTTTCAACTTAAAGAGTGGGGTTTATATAAGGTTGTGTCCTTATATCACATAGATAAGTCACACCTATTGGCGAAGAGATGTCGTTCCAAGGTTGGAACCGTTATAACGAATTAAAAATTTAATTTGACCCTTAGTTATAAAATATAAAATTTCAAAAAAAATCCAAAACACTTTAAAATAGAAGGTCTAGATAACTTATCATAAGATGCACTAATTTTAGGGCTTAAAATTCTTGTTTTTCTTCGTATGTATATATCTCAAGGCCCGAGATGATCCATTGAAGGGTTTTCCGACTCTAAAACACTCTAGTTGTAGGATTTTTAAGGTGTGCAATAGTAAAAAATTACGACCCTATGTTAACTTTTCTTTTTTGAATACCCCAAAAGAAAGGGATATTTAATTTCAAGAATCTTGGTACATTATCATCATCGTGAATTGGAATAATTGAAGAAGTGTAAATAATTGAAAACACATTGTCATATGAAGGGAGATATACATACCCCAATTTCAAGTTTCTAAACATCTTATACCTAAACTTTTTGTATCTCTACTTTTAAACCTTGATACTATTTTTTTTTTTAATATTTAACCCCTTAAATAAAAAAATAACAAAGTGCCTTTATTTTTTCTAATCCCCTTTATTTGAAGTCCCGTTACTCTTTTTCTACTAACACTTTCTCTCTCCCAAAGTATAAACTATTATCTCTTTCACTCTCTCTCATTCTCACTCTTTTTCTTATTCGCGATAATGCGGTCCGGCACCTAGACCGCATTGAGTTCCAATATGGTGGCTTGTAATGCCGTCCAACTAGTAGGATCAAAAATTTTTGTGTGGTCTCACAATTTGTTGTGCTGGACCATAAATTTTTTTTCCTCTCATACCTCATGTACCGGACTGCATTACTGATACCCTATATACCAGACTGCGTTACTAGAGATTGAAAGAGAGAAAAAAAGGGAGGATATGGATTGTTAGGGAGTAAGAGAAAAAGAGGATATTGGTTTTTACTTCGGAAGAGAGAGTGTGGGTTGAGAGAGTCACTACTCTAAAAAGAAAATAAGAGAAAAAGTAGAGCATTTTTATTTTAAATTATTGATTTTTAGATTTGAGATATAAATATATAAAAAATTAATATTGAATTTAGGGTGAGATAAAAAAGTTTTGAGGGGTTTAGAAAGTATGTTAAATTTGGCGGTATTCCTACTCTTTAACTTTCTGGGGGCTATTTATAATTTTTCTTTCATAATAAATGGGACGGTTATTGGGTTGGGATAAAAAAAATCACGGTTAATTACCACAAAATATACAATTAAAACCTGGTTCCACTTCCTCGTTCATGTGTATTGCTCTCTCTCTCTCTCTCTCTCTCTTTCTCTCTCGTCTGGTTAGTAACCTTCTCTCTCTATTCCGGTTAGTAACCATCTCTCTCTAGTCTGGTTATTCTCTGGTTATTAAGCTTCTCTTTGTCTCTCGTTTGGTGAACAAAAGCTTCTGATCCCTTCTCGTTAGAAAGGGAGAGAAATTCTCATCTCCATCAACATGAGCTCGACTCCGGGGTCGCACTCTTTGGCCTTCAGGGTTATGAGGCTCTGCAGGCCTTCATTTCAGGTGGACCACCCCCTTAAGCTCGACCCTCTCAGTGATCTCCTTTTTGGTGAAGACCTCTTCGACAATGGCGAAGCCATCGATCAATTCTCTCGCCTCCTCTCTTTCTCTGAAGATGAGAGGAATAAGAGCAGAGATATGAGTTACTGGAGGAGATTTGTGCTCGAAAACCCTTCTGATGCCATGGGTCTCTCAGGCCTCTTGGTTGTTCCGCAGTCTTTCGGGTTAGCTTCTTCTCCTGTATTGTGTGCAATTTCATTTACCGAACCTTAAAGATTGGATCTTTGATGGGATCCGTTCCAGAGTGTTTCAAAATTTGGCTCAATTCTTGCTTCTGTCCCTCTTGGGAATTGAAATTGGTGCAAATCTCTGCAACTGTTTTCATGGTAAACCTGAATTTACCGGAACGCAGAATCAAAATTTCCCAATTTTAGAATTTCTTCTTATTCATCCAGTTTGTATGTCTCATTTATCAAATCCAAATCCAAATTTGGTTAATATGCTAAAATTCTGCCATTTTTTCTTTAACTTTTAATCCGTTTTTATCAAATTGTATTACTTGCTTTCATAATTGAATGTGAAATGAAATTTAGTTGTTTCTGCAGAGCTGATATTCCTAAACTTAGTCTTTGAATTGGATTGTTTTCACTGGGTCTAGCATAGTTCAGAGTCTTCAGACTTACTTTTCGAAATTCAAAAACAATTAAAATCATTTCAATATGGTTCTCCATTCGCTGGCTGAAAAACTGAGATGGTTATGTTTGGCTGCCCTTCCTCCATTAAAAGAAAAGTTGGGTTTTACTCCTCAGCTGAGAATTGTTCCTTAACCAAAATTCAGGACTTTCTTTGATACGTTTGATGGGATCAGAAAGGCTGGTTGAGAAGGGATTATATCATTGCTTTTATGCTTGCAGTGCAATTTACCTTGGTGAGACATTCTGCAGCTACATTAGTATTAATAACAGTTCTAATTTCGAAGTGAGGGATGTCACAATCAAGGTATTTGATGTTCTTTTTAATTGTTATGATCTCTTTTATGGGGCCTTTGTACATATTTGGGTTATGGAATGGGACATTATAATATATTTAATTTGTCTAATATATAACTTTGGCCATGTAATTAATTAATCTGTCTGGTCTTAAGCTATAATAGCTTTTGTAGGCAAAACATTGGAATCCCAAATATAATGGAAATGGTTGTGGTGTATGAATGTAGGCAGAAATTCAAACAGAAAGGCAACGGTTATTGCTTTTGGATACTTCAAAATCACCAGTAGAGTCCATAAGATCCGGTGGGCGCTATGATTTCATTGTAGAACATGATGTGAAGGAACTGGGACCTCATACGTAAGTTGATTCTAGCCATAGAACCCATTAATATATTGATGGGAAGTAGAATCACACTCTCGTGATATTTCCATACAGTACTTTTACATGTCATAGAAATATCAATTTTGACTTCTTCAAATACATGATGTGCTATCAATGTAAATCTAGTTGTAGAATACACATAGCATCACAGTTTGTGTTCTGTTATTGATTGCTTGGATTCATTTTCTGCAATTTTCAGTCATAGATATGAAAAATCTAATTATCATTTCGACATATGTACATTCAAGGCTGGTCTGCACTGCTTTGTACCATGATGGAGATGGGGAGCGTAAATATCTTCCTCAATATTTCAAGTTTGCAGTTGCAAATCCCCTTTCAGTTAGGACAAAGGTATGAAGGATTTGTAGTTTTGTGCAGATAATCTCAAATACCATGCATTTGCTGTAGTAACTTTCAGTTTATAAAAAAACATGAAAGTACAGCTTAAAATTCCAACAACATATAAAGATACATGTAATCAATTAAGACGGAAAGAGGAGAGTGTTGATTTCAAAAGTTTTCCTGATGCTTATCTTTTTAACTTAACCCTCCCTATCAAAATTTCTCATTTATTTTTTTTTCAATTTTCTTGTGCAGGTTCGCTCTGTTAAGGTAGGTTTCCTCTTCAGAAGTTGGTGAGTGTAATTGATTTTCTTTAATTTTAAACTTCGAATTCCAAATCCCCTTCTTCTTTTTTTTGGGTTTTTTTTTTGGGGTGGGGGGGGGGGGGGATTTCGCTATTTGGTAGATTAATTTGTCCTGGATTCCATGAGATTTCTTCTGAAAAGTTGCTTCCAAAACTTTTATGCCTGAATGTGGATATATTACAGAGTTCCTGAAATTTGAGCTACCATTTGGTAATACCTTTTGAATGTTGGTTATGTTTTAAATATGTTAAAAACAAAAAAAAAACTTTGATATTCCATTCAAAAGGCTTACAACTTGCATATGGTGACTGACGACTACAGTGCCTTCTGCTTGTTTTCCTTTTCGTTGTTTTCTTCATGAATATAATTAACTGGCTTTTTTTTAACTTATATGAATATGCCTTCGTCTTGTGAATGGACATAGCTATGCTGGTTTCTTTTTAATGGACATAGCTATGCTGGTTTCTTTTTAATGGACATAGTTATGCTGTTTTCTCTTGATTTTGGTGTATTGGAGGCATAATTTTTTGACATTGATATACAATTTTTCTTCAGTGCACTTGGGTTTTCGATACCTCTTTGTTTTGCTGTTGATAACTTCTTCTCCCTTACTGATGCACAGAGCATTGAATTAACCAGGAAAATACGTTCTTGGAAGCTTGCATTGAAAACCATACAAAGTCAAACCTTTATATGGATCAAGTTGAGTTTGAGCCTGCCCAGCATTGGACTGCAACAATCTTGAAAGCTGACACACATAGTTCAGAAGCTATTCAGCCTAGGTATGGAAATGCACAAAAATGCAATGTTTACTACTTTGCTCTTATTTCCTCGTCCTCGGCTTATTTCCTATTGTTTGTTTTCTTTAGTTGCGGTCTCCAATTGTTTGTAGCTGTATGATACAGACTGATCTTTTTTTATTGGTTTGCTTGATTTCTATTCATATTGACAGAGAGGTATTTAAACCTCCTGTTCTCATTAGAGCAGGAGGAGGAATTCGTAATTATCTTTATCAGTTGACATTATCATCCCCTGAATCAGCACAAATGAAGGTTGAAGGAAGCAATATCTTTGGTAAACTTCAGATAACCTGGCGTACTAATTTGGGAGAACCTGGGCGCCTTCAGACACAACAAATTCTTGGTAGTGTAAGTATCTCTTAAAAAAAGTCTCATGAGCATTTGTTGCTCATTTGTTTTGACATGGAATTTTTGTTGCCCATTAAAATAGCCATTTCATAAAAATGGACTGGACCAGCCAATTTGATCTGGTTTTCGTTATCTGTGACTCTGCCTATTCCAGCTGGGTCATTACAAGATTCAGCTTGTTTATATGTCCATTTTAACTTTTATGTCTCCTTTTTGTTTACCATATGCAATCTTGGTATATGCATCATTGTGAAATCCAATAAAAAGGTCACCTATGAAAATAACTTAAAATTGCCACTGTTCATGACTCAAAGACATGAGGTGCATAGGTAGCCTGGCCCAAACTTCACCTTCTAAGTGACCTGCACTTGCCGTTTCTGAGGCATTTCATCCAGGCCATTTCATCTAACACCTGCTCTGCTGCCTCAAAAGATTTAACTCCATGCTTTTCATTGCTCCATCATACTTTAACCCACGTAAAATTAAGCTTCATTCTAATATTTGGCTTTTCCACACCGCCATCAGTTGAAAATCGTACTTCATAATTTTGTAGAATTATATGGTAGAACATTGTTATCTTTTGGGTTTCTCTATTGTTCTTCTATTCTGAAATCATTGTACTGCTGCTCTATAGGACTATGGCAATTCTTTTTAAAATATCATGACTGTTTCCATTGCGGAAATTTTTTCTTGTTACCTAAGCATATGCAATTCTCTTGCAGCCCATTTCACATAAAGAGATCGAATTACAGATTGGAGAGCTTCCTTCCATTATCATATTAGATAAACCTTTTCTGGTGAGAATATCCTTATTCCAATACCTAATTTTCATCTTTTGCCATTTGGACCTATCTGACCATTTTTTCTGTTAAAATATTCTATGTTTCTACACTGTTGAGGTTCTGGGTTAATTCAATTGTTTCTGTATTTTGTTATGTAATTTGTACCTATCTGACCATTTTTTCTGCAATCATTTCACTTCCCTGTAGTTCCACATACCATAATCATCATCTAAGCCTTATCCCAACTATTTGGGGTCGGTTAGTTCCACATGTCTAATTATAAAAACTTTAATTTTTGAATTTTATGAGCATTAACTATCATTTTAACTCTTGTTTTGCATCCAATTCTTATTTCCTTGAATGAAATGAAGTCTGTGTGCGTATCACATTGATACATGCTGCTTCCTATTTGTCAATTTTACTGAAATAAATATTGAAAAGATAATTGTTTAGATATTGCTGATCTTTCTCTAACTGTTCTTGTTGAAATTGACTTGCATTTATGGTTACGATCCCCAGCCGTAGGGGTTCATTGCACAGAATCTTGTAAAAGATGGAGCTGGGAAATCTTTTTGTTCATATAGTCCAAGCGGCATAGAGAGGACGAAAATGTGTTTCTTTTTAATCTGGATTAGCTAGACGAGTGATGACTGTATCTCTGTGGTGTCTATATGCGAACCAAGATTCTAGAAAGTGTATAATGGCCTACAAGAGCTAGATGAGAATGTATACTTTAGCAATTTTGTCCTAAGGCATGGTCAGAAGGAAAAAAAGAAATAATTGAGAAATTTAGATTATATGTGTAATTTTTGGAAACAAGCTTATAGTAGTGAATAAATAAAATAGCGCACATAAATTATATATATGCAAGGTGTTCCGAGTTCTTTTGTTTATTGCATGGGGATCCATGTGTATGAATATTTGACATGACACCTATAACTGTGTTCAAGCAATATGCTGACTATTACAGTTCACAATTGAAGAAAGAAAGGAGATTTTTTTTTTTGGTGAAAAAGAAATCGAATTAGTGATGGTTAAACTCCTCTCTTTGAACGTAACCATCCAAAAATATCCACTTTGGAAATTTTGTGATTTGGCAAAAATCTTGTTTCTGGTTTATTTTTTCCCAACCAATAAAAGATACCAAGAAATTGATTCTCCCAGACTTGCTCTATGTTCTGTGCTATTCAATTAGTTGCTTGTATAATGGTGCTGTCGTCTTCTAGAGCATGTTTCCCATCTAACTCCTGCGCCTATGCATTCTTCTTGGTTATTTGTGAATGTCATTTCATTATATGCACTTTGTGACTAATATGGTATTTTATTATATGAATTCTAACTAATATGGTTGTCTTTCTTTTGTCGCTCCTCACACATGCTTTTTAACTTCCCATTTATGGAAAGAAAATATATAATTCTATGTATGCTCATGTTTCTGTTGGATACATTAGCATCTGCTATTATTTGTGAAAGACCTTGGGGGTGCAAATCAAATATTGATGGATTATTGTAATTTCAGGCCTTGAGTTTAATGTACTCTTTTGGCTGTTTATTTTTTCTGCCTGTAAACAGATCTGCAAGCGTTTCCCTTTAATATGCAGTTTTCATGCTTTTCCAGGTACACTTGATTCTTACAAACCACACAGAAAGGAGAATTGGGCCATTTGAAGTATCTCTCTCCGGAGATGAGTCTCCTGAGAGTAATGTTGTCTACGTTAATGGTCTTTGGAAATTGGTATGACCTTTTTTTATTCTAGGATTTTCGCTTGTATATTTGCATTAATGACATCTTATGTGGTGGTGTACCATCAATAATTGTTCTACTATTTACAATTTTCTCTTTTGCTTAGCTGTTAAATCCAGAAAATTGTGGCTATGACTATTAGTTGCTTATTCCTTTTTTATGTGGTTATTTTTTTCCTTAGGAGCATTATCTAAAATAAAATATTTGTGTTTCATATCTGTTTTTCATGATGGGAGATTTCAAGAATTGGGCTAATTTGGCCGAGGCTATCTGTTCTCTACCCATTCTCTAGTAAAGATTATGAGAAACCTTTAGCAATATTAATTACAAGTGATTAAGTTTAAATGTCAGGATACTTAAAACTTTGGCCTATATCATGTTTTTTTATAGCATTTGAGCTGTGCCATATTGATGGTCTACCCTATTAAGGAAGATCTTGAATTGAAAGAGAAAGACCACAAACTTCCTTTCTAAATATTATTTCCCTCTATATTTAATTGGTAAAAGGAGTTCGGAAATCCATTACCTTTTTTAAGCCACATTTATTTGAATCAGGACAACCATGGCTAACATGCTGTTTGTAGAAATGACTTTGTGTTTTCTCTTTGTACACGTCGTTTTAAAATGTAACATGTTAGTGTGATCATGATGTGGCATCATCTTGGAGATGTTCCTTGAGCAGCTGGATCGCAACTTTCAGATGTTGTGACAAAGACTAGGATAGTTCTTGTTATTTACGTTGGTCTTATAATAGTAAAGGCATGCAGTTGTTATAGAATTTATAGCAATAAAAACCTAAAGCAACTAGAGTTTAGCTTTTCAAAGGTGACAAAATGAAATTCGCGGTTGACACCATTTCTGTGAGTTAGCTATGTATGAATGTTACTCTCAAGAAGGAAAAACGAGGATGATGCTTTTTATATTGGGTTATGTTAGGGTACTTGTACATGTGAGTATTTCCTTGATATATTCAACATTTTTAGACATTTAATACCTTTACCCGCTAATGTAGCGACTTTTTGTCTAGGGGTATATTAGGTAATTATTCAAAGGTAACGTAGAAATTCATGATAGAGAGAAGAGCATTTATTAACTATAATAGAGAATGACATTATCCACATGAGGGGTGACATCACCCACATAGAGCATTAATTGCCACCTACAAAGCAAGGGTAATTAGTATCTAAAATATTGAGTACATTAAAGACATACTCACATGTATGAGTACCCTAACATAACCTTTTTATATTTAGTAAAGGTATATCTAGTGTTGCTATTGAAGCTAGCTATTTGTAATTGTACTTTCCCATATTAGGGGCTAGGGACCATCCTTAGGTGTCACTTGAGGCTTGCCTTTTAAGCCTGCCAATTGTCCAGAAGAGTCATATGCCGAGCAGAAAGCAATTGCTGTAACTGTTCAGTGGCCCCTAGGATTGTGACCTGATTTCTATATGGGAGACAAACTCATCCTTCTGGCCACTGAGGATTGTGATAGCTGTATAGCCAATATGTGGCTAACAATGTTGTATTCTAAAAGTATAACGAGAATTAGAAACAATCATCAAGACAAGCAACCATTATGGCTGTATTTCAAAGATACTAACAAATTATTATGGTGTACCATTCTGTGCGGGATAGGGGTTTGAGAAACTTAGGATAGATGTTTTATTTTATTTTCATGATTGTAAATGTTGTTCCCTTCGTGATGGAGATCAGAGCACAACAAGTAGCCACGGGTATCTTCTTTTGGAGCGACAGAGTCCTAATTTTCGCTCATATTTGGAGGATGAAAACCGTAGGAGGGCTTCCAAGAAGAACAAGAAGAGCAACAAATAGTTTGGGTGTTTCTTTTTAGTTTTTTGAGGCTATTTCAGATGTTTTTATTTATTTATTTCATTGCTGAAAAAGTTAGAGACTTTTTCAATATTTTAATTAAAGTTAGAGAATTTAGTTTCAAGTTATACTTAAGTTAGGACCTTTTGGTTAAAAGTTAATTGTATGAACAATATTATCCAAAACAATAATTTTTCAATATAAATAAAGGTATGGATGGGCTGGAGAGTCATTCATGTATTCCTCTTTAAGAAAAGAAAGACTTTGTCTTGTAAAAGAAGCCTAAGGCTTGATGCCTAGGTGGGAGAACCTTAGGGTTTCTCCAAAGTTGCTTGTGTCAAGTTGCTTTTTGCTGATGTTTTCTAAGTTTTTTCAAGTTCACCTACATCGCTTCGCTAATGAATGCTCATTGCATATCCTACTTTTCTCATTTCTTTATGGGGTTTCTCACATAGTGATAATTTGGCAGGCTTTACCCCAACTAGAGGCATTAAGCTCTATGAATTTCAACCTGGTGAGAAATTTACAATCTTGTATTTAACTTCTGATTGCAGAGAAAAAGTATTCATATGTACCTCTTCTGTTTCTTATTTCTTTTAAGCAGAGTCTAATTGCTACAAGATTGGGGGTTCAGAAGATATCTGGTATCACCGTGCTTGATGCAAGAGAAAAGAAGATCTATGACTCTTTACCAACTTCCGAGGTTTGTCTTCTTTGTGCCACCGTTAAAATATAGATTTATCACAAAATAATGTAACACTTGCCATGAACCTTGAATGGGAACTCTCACAGCGATTTCACTAACCAAATTGCTTCCAAGGATGCCGCATGCATTGCCATGTATTCAGCCTCCATAGTGGACTGTGCTGTCACGCACTGTGTCTTACTGCACAAAGAGATAACCCCACTGGCTAAGGTGAACAACCAATCTGAGGTAGACAAGCATTTGTCCTTGTCTTCTCCCCACTCCACATCACAATACCCTTCCAAATATAAGCGTCGAATCCTGTAACCACAGTCCATGCCAAAGGGTACCTCAAGATACATCATGATGAGTTTCATGACATCCCAATGCTGCATTCCCAGATTACCCTGAATCCGGCTGGTCACACTAACTGCAAAGCCAATATCTGGTATAGTACAAGTCATAACATGCATCAAAGAACCTATGGCACTGGCATATGGAGTATGCCCCATCTGGCACTTGTGTCCCTCATCCTGAGGGTTCATATCCTATCACAGCTTAAGTTTTTCATACATAGGTATGCTAAGAGTCTTCTAGTCATATACCTTATGTTGTTTTAGCGCTTTCTCAATGTCATGGAACTGAAGTAGCCATAATAACTTGCCTGCCTTATCTCGTACTATCTTGATTCCCGAGACATACTCCTCCCAAGTTCTTAACATCAATTGTGGAGCTCACCAGTTTTTGACATGACCCAAAAACTTCAAATCATTTTTGGCTAGTAGCATATCATCCACATAAATGGTAAGCAACAAGATTGAACCCCCACTTATTTTCTTGAATAAACACCAATGAGCATCACGCTGATGAAAACCACATGCGAAGTTCTGTACTGAATTTTTTATACCATTTTCAGGGTTCTTGCTTTAATCCGCATACAAAGAATTGCTCATCTTGTGCACCTTCTGTTCTTTTTGCCTTCCTTGATGAATCCTTCTGGTTGCTTCAGATAACACTTCTTCATCAAGATGTTAAAAAATTGTTGCCTTAACATCTAACTGATGTGTCCAAGTCAAGACACGCTACAATGGCAACAAAAATACGGATGGTTTTAGTACTTATTACTAGCGAGAAGGGTATTAGAAAAATTGATGCCATGCTTTTGAGAAATCCGTCTTCTACAAGTTTGGCCTTGTAGTTGTCCACACTACCATCTGGGTTCGACTTCCGTTTCTCCTCTTGTTTCCCACTGGTTTCACTCCCATTAGTGCATCCACATGTTTCCCACTGGTTTCACTCCTATTGGTGCATCCACCAATTCCCAAGTTCCATTTGGCATAATTGATTCCATCTGATCTTGTAATGCTTCCATCTTCTGGTCACTGTCAGAGACTCCATAGCACAGTGTATGTCAATGGATCATTTTGGAACTCAGCAAGAAAGGTGAAGAAATCTGGGGTGAAAATAGTCAAGAACTCCTCCTTTAACTGTAGAGGTTAATCAGAAGGTCCAGTGGGCAAAAGAGAATGAATGGGTTTGAATTCTAGAACCCTGAGGTATTGGGAATTTGCTCTTTTGAGCGGACCAACAAACTCATTTTCAAGGAAGTGAGCAAACTAATAATCAGCCTATTAGTCTCTAAATCAAGCAATCTAGGACCCTCAGTTCCTTACTCATACCCAATGAAAACACGGGCGATTTTTTGGTCTAGCTTGGATCTGAGATGGAATGAAAACATGTGCAACACAGCCCAAACTTTGAAGTCACTGAGATTAGAAGCCCTACCTGTCCATCTTTCACAGGGAAACATAAACAAAGATTTAGCAGTGATATCGTTTAGCACGTAGTTGGTAGCCAATAAGGGCTTCATCCCAAAGGCTGTAATCAAGACCAGGAGAAATAATCATTTATTGGGCAATTTCTGCAAGGGTTCAGTTTTTTCATTCAGCAAGGCCATTTTGTTGGGACGTGTGAGGAGTTGAGGTTTAGTGAATAATGCATGTGCAGTAGACTTATATTCTCCTCCCCTGCTGCTCCTTTAACACTTTGAATCTTCTACCCAACACGTTTTCACCTTCCAATTTATATTCAACTAATTTCAAAAAGCGCCCGACTCCAATTTTAACAAAGACACATAACAATATCTTGAATAGTAATCAATAAAAATGATGTAATACTCACTATACCCACATGAACTTCGAAGTTTCTTGCAAATATCAGTATGAACCACTTCCAATAGCTCAGATGCACACATGCCTTTCTTAAAAGAAGTTTCTTGATGACGTTTTTGCCATGCAAGTTTTATAAGAAAGGTGCCTTCCTTAAAGGAGTTTCTCGAAAGCTCTCTCGAGATGCAAGTTTCCTTCAAATATCAGTATTACATTACAGCCTTTGGTGAGTTATCTAACTCACAAACCTTAAAAAAATCTTTTTGTGCTAGGTGCCTTAGTGTCATAATATATGTGGTCTAACCTTTTGTACCATTGAAATGCCGAATCTATCAAAGACACATTATAACCACCAGATCTCATTCAATTTATACAATTTTTTCAACTGTTTCCATAACTGATGAACTTGTCATTTTTTAACGTAGTTTCCAAAACCTGATTTCTCTAAGATGGTCACTGAAGTTAGGAACCTATGTATACGGGAAGCATATCTTTTAACAACAAAGAGTAACCAGAGGAGGGAGAAGGTTACCCACACCAGCCACTGGAAAATGCAGTCAGAGCTTCTGCAACCACATTTACCTCCTCGATAATGTGAATCATTTCCTTCTTCTTGGTCCTGCAATCTCGTTTGAAATTTCCAGGTTCCCACACTGGAAACACCCGACGTTCTTCTTGAAGTCAGGATTCTTGCCCCTGAACAGAGCCGACTGAGAGGATTGAATCCTCCGTTGATCTTTCTTATCTTCCACAGCTATATACAGCTGTGGTTGACCCTGTTGTTGGGCTTTCCTTGCCTTTTCTTCAATTACGAGTAATGTGCAGAGCTCCCCAACAGTTTTTGGCCAGGGAGGGTGTCGAAGTTTTGCTGAACCTCCCCCTACAAAGGAGGTAAGGCATTAATAATGGCTGTGATCTGTTGCCTTTGGGACAAGAGTTCCCTACTGGTTTCAGGTTGGCCTCCATAGTATGCATAACCTCAAAGCTCTCCAATATAGGCTTCAAATCATTCATCATGTAGGAGGTGAATTCTCTCCTTGCCATGTTGTTACTTATTAGACATTATTAATGTTAAGAAATGCTGGTCCTAGGAAAAGAGAGAACAGGAGACTCCTGAAAATTGCAGTTGCATGGTGGCAGTGATCACTTATACATCAATCATGATCATCATCCGAGCTTTATCCCAACTAATGGGTCGGCAGATCACAAATTACGTAGACTTAAAAAGAGCAAGTAGTAGGGCCAAACGGACATAGTTGGAACTTGGAAGTTGTGTGACAAGATATGGGGAGTTATGGCCTCACTAAGGGTATGGTCCTTGATAGAATAGAATGGCGGACCAGGATTTATATAGCCGACCCCAAATTGTTGAGAAAAGGCTCTGATGATGATGAGATTGCAAATTATGTCGATACCTTACAAATTATAAATCATTTTAGATGAAATTTAATGTACATCAAGTTTTCTCACATTCCTTGATGTGTTTGAAATTTCATAGTAATCCTACTTACCATTGTCAAGAACTAGGTCGTACAACTTACAAGAGAAGTTTCAAATTTTCTGCCGCCTATAGAACAGCAACACAGAGAATAAGTTTAATTTAGAGAGAGAAATTGGCACTTTATGTTGTTGGACAGCCCGGGATTCTTCTAGGTTCTCAGGCCCATGCAGAAGGAGGTTCAAGACAGAGCCTAGGTAGTAAGGTCAATACTCCTCCTCTATCCGGTGGTTAACTGAGTATAGTACACAACAATTCCCATAGCGGACCCCGAGATACAACTTTCCTTGACCTGAGCCCTTCAGCTAAGAAATTGAGTTTACCATATCACTATATAACTTCTAAGAGATCTTCTGTCCTTCTCTGTTGGTCATGGAGGCAAAAGACTCATGGTCATCCTTGCTCCTTCCAAATGACATGTGGTCTTTTCTTGCTTCGTGCAAGTAATGTGTAGCCATCATATCTTGCCTCTTGTCATACTAGTTATCATCGACTTTCCTTCAGAATGGGATTACCAATTTTGGACCCTTTATCAGAGTTTTTTCTCTTTACAAGGGCTAAAGTTCAACGCACTCAAGTACTTGGCTTGAGAATAGAGCCTTCTGCTGTGGGAGCTTCCATTGTGGGAAAACTTCCGTGGGAGCACCGCTTATGTGAGAGCGCTTCACTTCTTTTTGGCAAAGTGCACATTAGTGAAGTACATCGTCTCCCTCTAAGGTGGTGGTTGATCTGAAATTTTCCACAATTACTTGTGAGACCAAGCCAACTTTTGGATGAAACAATGGCTTGGATGGGATTTGGGACCTGTTGGAGAAACTGGATGAGGGGCTGTTACACCCATCCCTTCTTCTCCGTGCTCATTAATGGCACACCAAGTGGTTTCTTCCCTTTCTCAAGGGGTCTTAGGCAAGGGGACCCCTTGCCCCCTTTCCTCTTTGCAATTTCAGCTGAGGTCTTCAGCTGCTCTATCTCACACATGTACCAGTCCCACCTTCTTTCAGGCTTCAAGAGTAGTCCTAGAGGCCCCATGGTTACTCATCTACAGTATGCAGATGATACGCGGGTGTCCATCGATGCTGTGCCTCTCAAAATTGAGCACTCATGACGCTTCCTAAAGTGTTTTGAATACACAACTGGCTTCAAGGTCAATATGGGGAAGTCTACCATGATTGGGGTCACTCGTTCCCCCTCTGAAACCAGAGAACTCATCCCCCTTTGGCAGTGCAAAGTCGAAGACCTAGTTACTACCTACATAGGGATGCCCTTGGGTATTGGGAAACCCAAAAAGAGACAGTGGTCTCATGTTATAGATAGAGTAGACCCACGTCTGGCTGGCTGGAAAGGCAGATTCCTATCATTCGCAGGCAGGACTATACTGATAAAGGCTATTTTGTCCAACACTCCGGTCTACCTATGTCTCTGTTCCACATGCCGACGGCAGTAGCCTATCGCCTCGAACAGCTTATGAGAAATTTCCTCTGCTCAGGCAGCTCTGACTCTACTAAGTTTCACCTTGTCTTTTGGTAAAAAGTCTGCCAAACCAAACATTTGGGAGGACTATGGATTAGATATTTGAGAAAACAGAATATTGCTCTGCTCGGCAAATGGTGGTGGCGTCTAGTGAACGATAACAATCTTCTTTGGACTAATGTGATTTGTTCTAAATACCGCATCCCACAAAATGTTTGGCTGCCCGAGGGTAGAAGACCCACCAGAACCTTCGGGGGCTTGGAAATCTTTCTCTACGGTCTTGATGCTTTTTGGAAGAATATTCGGTTTCACCCGGGGAGTGGTCACAAAATTAGTTTCTGGTCTGATATTTGGCTAGGTCACACGCCCATGAGGGATAGGTTCCCCTTATTATTCTCTCAGGCCTCCTATCCATCCTCCTCCATAGCTGAAGAGCTCCCAGCCTTAGGCGGCCCAAGGGTTTGGAACCCTCTTTTTAGACGGTCCCTTTTGGACCCCGAATTCCTAGAATTCACCTCGTTGGCATCCTTACTTCACTCCACTTTCTTGACCCATTCTGGGGCTGATAGAATCATCTGGACTCCCTTGCCTTCAGGACTATTCTCCGTCCCTTCTTTTTACAAGATTTTGCTGCTGCCACCCTCTACGTCTCCTTCCCCTTCTTCAGTCGTCCTCAAGGCATGGTCCTCCATTGCCCCACCGAAGGTGCAGGCGTTTAACTGGTTGCAGGCTTGGAAAGAGCCCTCACGGTAGATCACCTGCAACGGAAAGGTATCCCAATCCCAAACATGTGTGCAATGTGCTGCTGCGAGGAACAGACCAACCCCCACTTCTTCATACACTGCACTCTCGCCCATAGCCTCTGGAGTAAAATCCTTGGACTCTTCGGGTAACTCCAGCCTCTATTCCAGACCCCTTCTTCCTCGCCGCGGACCCTCCTTGGCCTAAGGCAGGTAGACTCTTATGGAAGGCATCCATAGTGGCAACCATATGGGTCATTTGGACCGAGAGAAACTCAAGGATCTTTAGAGTGCCAAAAGTGAGGTCACAAACCTTTTCCATAGAATCACATCCTTAGTGATTTTCTGGGCATCTAATCACAAAGCCTTCAATGGCATCTCAGCCTCGGCTTTCATTCATAGTTGGGAAAATGTCATTCATTTCCATCCGCACCGGCCTGCGAGAGCAAACAATTGGTTGCCCCCCCCGGAAAATCACATCAAGTTAAACTTTGATGGGTGTTCCCTTGGGAATCCCAGACCTTCGAGCATTGGGGGGGGTGTTCTGAGATCCTCTTGGACACATTCTAGCAACCTTCTCGACTCACATAGGTCATACTGATTCTCAGTTGGCTGAGTCTTTGGCTCTCCTGTCGGAACTCAAAGCACTCCAATCTGGCTGGGACCTTCCATTGCTAGTAGAAGGAGACGCGAAGAACATCTTAATCTGGGCGCCTGGACATGCCCCTGCTCCTTGGTACCTCGCACCCATCTTTGATGAAATCTCCCACATTTGCAGAGATCTTCCCGTCTTGTGGATGCATACCTGGAGGAATCAAACTCCCTCGCAGACCAGCTGGCTAGGGATGGGACTCTTGCACAGATGGTGGATCATAGACCTTCTGAGACGAAAATAGGGCCAGCCTTTTTGGTACCAAAGGACTGTTCCTCTGGTTTCTTTTGTATATGGCCGACTTCTTTTACTTTGCCGGCCTTCTCTGTACACTGATGTATTGGGCAACTGATATAAGCCCCTTTTTGTATAAGGCTACTCTTTTGGGTAACCTATTGTTTGCCATGCGACCGGGCTAGTGGGTCCCCTGGAACAACCTTATGTACCCCCTTTGCCTCTATATAAACGTTAACATTATAAAAAAAAAATGAAAGCTATATTTTACACAGGGAAATGGGTTTGCTCGTTATGGATTTTTCACCAGGGGCTTGTACCTATCTTGGCTTCAGCCGAAATGTCTGAGGGCTTATTCATGGCTACTCTCAAGCTGCACCTAATGGTTAAGGTCAAAAGATGATCCTACCTTGACTATAGGTGACTGCCTTCCATGTTCAAAGTCATGATGACCATTGGTTCTTTCCCCAGCCTAAGAAAGTCATTAAGGACATAATGTCCACCTTTCCAGTATTGGCTGGAAATGAGTTTTATGGAGCCACCGGGCATGTGCCTTGATTCATGTATGTCTAGTCGTGCAAGGCCCTGGCTATTTTAGTGACATATAACAACTTTTAGCTGTATAGGTATGCTCAAATAAAACAACTGCAATAAATGCTCCAAATTGTCATATGAAAGCATCAAAATAAAATTTTATACTATCAAATGTCCAATTCGCAAGTACCAAATACTGTTGTGCGCAAAGATCATTTGCAAAATGTGTTGGATGCACAACAGTCATTAGCATTGAAGCACCATAGACACAGATTGAATGCACTAAAACATCTTCTCGATTATGCACAGAGCTAATGTAGTCAGCTACCATAGAGTGTTTTGCTATCAAGTGCTTAATAGCAAAACATCTTGATCGTATAGAGAGCAGTTGTCCTAGCTCTGGTACATATATATTACATTGATTACCAGCTGATAATTGTAATCTACAAGAGAAAGTAGATATAGTAAGACAATTTACATTTGATACAAAGAGGTCACAATCACTCTTAGTCATTAGATGTGAAATTGGATGGCTTGAAATGTCTTTGAATGGGCTCAAAGTCCCAAAATAATTTTCCCAGACTTTTGATACAACCCAAGCTATGGCATTTCACATCTAATGACTAGGGTTGATTGTGAGCTTCTTGTAAATGTCAATCCTAATCCATAATCCAAAATTTTAGATGTTATGCCATATAGTATATGAAATATGGACTATATTATACAACATAAACATATGCCATATATCTCTTTTTTTTCCTTTTGTTTTTTTTGGGGGGGGGGGGGAGGGTAGGGGGGAATCTTTGTTTCTTTTTTAGATTAATCAATTATATGTTTTGATATATATTTTAAAAAATAATTCATATTTTTCATATATACTATATTATCTATTAAAAATGTCATGATATATAGTTTGAGATATGTTCTGTTATTTGTCATAACATTATTATCATGATCCTGCATACACACACATGCATTTGCCCCTACAGTGCAAATTTCTCAAATCACCGATTTGGGTACTCTATGGTATAGAAGGTTTGGGAATCTTCATTTAGAAACAAGGACAAAAAAGAAAAAAAGAACAGAAAAAGGAGGAGTTTCTGGATATCATACCATGCAGTACTCCTTTCTTAACTGAAAAGCCTGGATTAATGTCAGATAGACTTGAGAGGGCCATATTGTTTTTATTAGGCTTAAGTTGGTAAGTTTATGTAGCCTTTATCTTAGTACATATTTTCTCCATCTCTATATTGCATGCTCAAATTGAGTCTTTCTGATGTAGAGTTGTAATTTTTTCTCTTATGCAGATATTTGTCAGTCCGGATTGATATCAAGCTGCCCACTTACTGGTCAAGAAATTGTGCAGTCCTACGACTTTTTAATGCATTAGGAACTTTGGATTTAGTGGGTATCTTTGTTAATGACTAGGAGCATTTCAGGGTTTCAATTTTGTTTTCTTTAGAGTTTAGAACTGCTTTGGGAGAGTCCATGCAGGTGTTCCATTTAATTTTCTCAGGAAGTTCGGCATTACTTTTATTAAAGAGTGCATCTGGGGATCCAAACATGTTTATTTTTGTCCGTACTCTCTTTGGGTGAACTATTTCGATGCCTGATCTTAATTGAATGTTTGGGAGTGTACAAAAAATAATGTCACACATCAATTACAGTGTTGGTCTATCAACAGTTCAATTATAGGGGTCGGACAACTTTCAGGATCTAGACCTGCATAAGGAGCCATAGACAAGTTTCCCTTTTTTCATGTGGATAGAGTTGCATGAATAAATCATTTTGGATAAATGGGTGGGGTTTGTGTATGACATGCACTTCAAACCCTCAACTTCGTGTGAACTGGGTCACACATTTGAGCCCCCATTTATCATGGATAGATCACCGATTCACAATCCCATCTCTCCTTCGTAATGCTGTGAAAGGGCCTTAGCCGGATTGTGGCCCTTTGGGCTGGAGCTAGTTTTGAATCGGGTTGGGTTGCATATTGAGGTTGTGGGTTAGGTCTGGTAGGGCCAAAGTATTTTCAGGTGTTAGGATTTAGGTGGGTTGGCCATGTGGCGTAAACCCAGTATAATAATTGTTAGAAGGTGCGAGTTAGTTCAAGTGGAACGTTAAAAAAGAGAAGGGGTTTGGTACAAAAAGAAATGGTCGAAAGTAATAAAAAGATATATGGGGATTTATGATCTAAATGAGGGTATGACCTTTAATATAATAGAATGACGTATCAAAATTTATGTAGCCAATTTTAATTAATTGGAAAAATGTTTCGACAATGATGATTTTTATATTATATAAAACTAATTTTTTCGATATTTATAGAGGACCCGACCCTTTTTTTTCACTCTGTCCAAGACCAAGCTTACTTTGAATTGTGATTGGGCAAAGCCTAAGCCAGCCCAAAGTCGCCAAAACAACAAACCTAGTGCTTCCCTAAACTCGACCGTGAGAGTACCCTTGAGTCAATGCCACCCAATCTTCATGGTGCCAGTATATCTGCAATGAAATGATCCCTCTACATTGCTTGTCCAACTCTCCAGGTTTTTTCCGCCATATGCAAAAATACAACTGTGCTCTAGCCCTAAGTAGAAGTAGGACCGTTAACGGCTCAAGTTTGGGCCTGCTCGTTCTGACCCGAAAAATTACAGGTCAGCCCAGGCCTTGATAACGAGGCGAATAAAATTGGGCTGGAATGGGCTAGGCCCTACATAAATATGATAAAAAGTTTTTAATTTGTATAAGTATAGAGTTAAAAAAATTTCTGGTTGAGCTGGTGGAGGGCTAGTGCTGACCTGGAGCCGTAGGGGTGGCAGCAGGTCAGGTCGGGTTTGGGTCCAGCTAAACCCGGATCTAGAAAAAAATTATGCAACCTGGACCTAGACGTGACCGGAAGGTATCAGATCCGGCTAGACTTAGACTTGGATCGGAATGGAATTAATTGG